GGGCGCCCGGCTGGGTGGGTGGCGGGGAGCGGCTGCCCGGTCCGGTGCTGCCTGGGAGCGCTCCTGGCCTTCGTGTTGACCCCGAATCGCTGCCCACGCTGTTCCCTAGCTCCGGCCTTTTGATGAATCATTGGGCACTGTTTTTGGATGCCTATGTTCAGATAGAAGTTGTCTCTTAGAAACATAGGTTCTGGTTAACGATGAATTGTATCATTAACTTGATTATGCGAATCAACTCCAAGAGCACACTTAAATGCTTGTACGAGACAATTACTTATTGAATTTTTAAGGCCCTTTTTGTTTTTCTGTTTGTTTTCTTGTCTCTAGAAAACAAGCATTTAAAAAAATTTTTTTTAATGAATTACCTTTTCATGCTACAGGGTGTGGCATAGAGGCTCAGATGGTTGAATTGCTGTTCTGGTTCACTGAAAATGTTTATACTTTCCTCTTTCCTAGTTTTTAGGAATCAGCTCCCCAGGAAAAATGAGTTTTACTCATTTGAGCCACCTTCTGAGAATCCTCCCCCAGAAGCAGGAGAACCTGTGCGTCTCCAACTTAAGTCTGGCACTCACCTCTGCAGGGTCTGTGGCTGTTTAGCCCCCAAAACATGCTCCAGATGCCACCAAGCACATTACTGCAGTAAGGAGCATCAGACGCTAGACTGGAGATTGGTACATAAGCAGACCTGCACACAAGGTAAGACTTCCTTCTAAATCTCAGCTTGATTTCAGAGTTTCTGTCAACCCAAATATTTTATTCCAGTTTAACACCAAAGTTAAAATTGAAAAAGGTATAGTGCTATACTTGCCAAAAATTTTATAACTGGTAACATGAACCTTTCTTTATAAAAGAGCAGCTGTGAAATCTTAATTAGTTGTATGACCAGCTTTGCCTTCATACAGGTATTTTTGTTTGTATTTCATTTTGTTTTGTTTTTGGTACTGGGGATCGAACTCAGGACCTTGCGCTTGCGAGACAGGCAGTGACACCACTGAGCTAAATCTCTGGCCCCATGCAGGTATTTTTACTACAGAAGCTCATAATATATAGGAAGCAGCATGGGCAACGTCCTGAGCTTTTATAATAAAAGTGTCATAGGCATTATTACCCCAATCTAACAGGGAAAACTTTTACTTATGGAATATGCAACAGTAATGTTGTAGTGTAGCACATCACTCATGTTTGTAGTAATACTGATATTAAAAAACCTATTGTGCTGCCAGTGATGTAAAAGTACAGGGTATACAATCCTGAACAATATGTAATATTTAGTAATAGGTAATTGTTTTTGGTTTATATGTTTACTATACTTATTTTAGAGCGTATTCCTGTATGTTAGGAAAACTTAATGCAAAAGGGAGTATGCTGTGTTAAGTTGACAGCAGTCTTATGCATCTAGTGTTTGTCATGACTCTTGGTTATCTCATGAGGCTATGTTGAGTGATTAACCGTTATCATCTAGGTTTTTGTAATTCATTCCAATCTTCCAACAGTGGTGACATCACTCAACAACACAGCTTTCGTATCAAACAATGCATAACTATACTTTAGAAATAGGAACCTTATATATCATTCTCAAAACTAGCTATTCATAATAGTAACTGTTTTTGTTTTAGATCAAGTGGACCATGCAATTCCAGACCACAACTTCCTTTTTCCAGAATTTGAAATTGTAATAGAAACGGAGGATGAGACTGTGTCTGAAGTTGTAGAAAAGGAAGATGACTCTGAGATTATAGAAAGCATGGGTAAGGAGTCGCTTTCAGAATTTCAGTAAATGAACAAATAGAATGCTAGAAAGGGTTTTGGGATGTTAAGAAGAGTGGTAGTTAGTGAATTTGGGGGTGCTGGAGTCTCCTAAAGGTGATTTCTAGGTTCTTTCTGTCTTGAACAAAGAATTGAATGAAACAAGCATAAAGAGTGGGAAAGTTTCACATTTATTAAAGGAAGGGAAAAAACAGGATAAAATGAAATGAGAATGTTAGGTTTTTAATAAATGTGTTGGTAATGTTGCTATTATTTTGAAATGGTTATACCTTGGGGAATAAAGCAGTCATTATGTTAGTGTATTGGGCCTGAGAGAAAGATAACATAAATACATAAGATTAAATAAAAACCCTGTTGGTCTGATTTTCTGTTGGAAGTGTTACGAACTCTTGTTCCATCTGCTACAAAGGCTTAGAAATAATGATCAACTCAGTAGCAGTAGCATTGGGTATTTCTAATTCATGAATAACATTTGTTTCTAAAATAAGACACAGTCTCTTTGGAGAAGTGGTTGATTGCAGAAAATGTTCAGATAATATTGGAAAATGATCATAATGGAGATCAAGGAAGCTATCAAAGATTACAGGGGTTATATCAGGAGGCGGACACAAGATAGAAAATATAAACTGATGTCTTCTGTCCACAGAATAGAAACTAGTAGATTAAAACACATTAAATGTTTAAATTAATGGGTTCAAAAATTACAGCTTAAAAACTATTCTAATCTGATTTTTAAATTGGTGAATTGTTTTTCTGGGGTTCCTAACTGAATTACTCATAAAGTGACATGAATGGGACCTACTTTGAAGTAACTGAATTGGGGGACTTGAAATTTTAGTTGGAGCTGGTTGTTGGTATGTAGTGATCCACTATACTGTTTCTGCTTTTGTATATGTTTTAACATTTTCCAAAATAAAGTGAAGGGGAAAAAATGATTCCTGTAGGGAACTGTGTCCTAGCTAAGAAGTCCTGGATAAAAACAGATTGATAGAACACAGCAGACCCTGAGAAAGCACTGAGATGTTCTGCATATCACACTGAAACTTTGCTCCTGCACTTGATGGACATCAGTCTGAAGGCATTTCTTCCTTGGATCATGACTACCAATGAACACCATTAATTAGTTTTTCCAAGCTCATTAGAGTGGTAGAATTTTAAGTCAGCTTATGTGATTCAGGACATCCAAGTTATATTGTGATATGTCTTATAGACTGGCAGCTACCAGCCTGTTGGGAGCACCAGTGGCTCAGATTGGCTGGAGTTCAAGAATGAGTGTAAATTAGCTCAGTGGTTCCTGCGCCTGCCTTGTAAGCAAGCACAAGCGCCCAAGTTCGATTCCTGGTATTAAAAAAAAAAAAGAATGAATGTGAAGCAGGAAATGAGCTTTAGATAACTGAGTGAATTGAGTATCTAGTGGGAAAAGAAATGTGTGAGACATAGACTTGATCCAGGCAGATTAAGGAATAGTGAAAACCAGCTCAGATTGCTTGGGTGTCCTGTGATGTACTGGGCATAGTCCTGAAACCTTCATTTGGGCCCATTCTTCTAATTTGAAGCTTTAAAAGAGTAGAGGGAGCCTGCATAGTGATTATATAATGTTGTGTGGAGCACCTAGAAATAAGCATGAATAAAAAGGGAACACTGCCTAGTAAAAACTGGACTCTCTTCATTCATGGAGATTATTCCCATTTTCATAATTGTTGTGGTGCTTTTTCAGGTGAAGCACCTGAAGAAGAATTGGATTCCATGGCCAAGCATGAAACTAGAGAAGACAGCATATTCCAGAAGTTTAAGACTCAGATAGCCCATGAACCAGAGCAGGTAAAATGGAATTTATACCCTTCATTGTGGGTTTTTTCAGCTGTATTTTCTAAGTATAATCCCTGAGCAGTAACTCATTGTAAGAAAGCTAGTGTATTCCTTTGGAGTCTGAAACAATAAGCTTTTAAAATTTTGTTACAGGTATTCTTCAAATACATGGGCCACATAGAAGGGTGTTGGCATTTATGCTCCATTTAATAGTTAGTGAAAGACTAAAGTGAAACAGAGGCTAAAGATTATACTGTTTACTATACAGTAATTATTTTATAAAGGAAGCATCAGGGGTAAAAGCTGAATGAGATCTTCCCTAAGATACATGGAGTTTACGCACCACTGATTTTATCTATAATTATATATATGGATATGTCACTCAGTTTTCCCGTAGATAGCTTGGGCATAAACACATTTTTCCCATTAACTTATCTCACCCAAAATACCAATCAGTAAAAATATTTCAGCTACATTCCTAAAAACCAAGATCAAATAAGTATCCAGAGATTTAAAGGAAGGCAAGTTTTAGCAAGTCGAATAAAAATAGGGAAACCATTCGATTGTTGCAGGAAGCTAATTAGAATGAATTAACCCCTTTGTAAGATTAATACAAACACTGTATTTCACTAGATATTTGTCCTTTTTAAAATGTGTAAGATTCCTTACAAGTAAATGAAGGTCAGTACCAACTTAAGTATCTTGTACAAAGAATCTGCTAATAGGCATATTCTTGATTCCTTCATAGTATTATAAATACCCTAACATCTTAGGAAAAGTATTATTTAGGAAATAAGCTGAAATAACTGCTTTGAGGAAATGGAGAACACATCAGCAGTGCACACTATAAAATGTCTCTCAGACTAATGCTCTGTTAAGTGTAGGAGCACACACAATTTCTCTGTGATCATCAGATGGCATGTTACCACTGGAAATCTCTTAGGTGACATGCTAATATTTGAATATGGTCCTCATTGATTTTAGATTCTCAGATACGGCAGAGGTATTGAGCCCATCTGGATTTCTGGTGAAAATATTCCTCAAGAAAAGGATATTCCAGATTGTCCCTGTGGTGCCAAGAGAATATTTGAATTCCAGGTATGGATTATTTTAGTGTAATCACTCTGCTTTATGCTTTTGGATATTAGAAAATCGCCTTGGTAAGGTGCTATATAATTCTAAGAGCTTGTGGTTTTCCCTGCTTTGAAGGAGTGTTCTCACTGAGTGTCCCTCTCCTCAGGTCATGCCACAGCTGCTGAACCACCTGAAAGCAGACAGACTGGGCAGGAGTGTGGACTGGGGCGTCCTGGCTATCTTCACTTGTGCAGAGAGCTGTAGTTTGGGCAGTGGCTACACACAGGAATTTGTATGGAAGCAGGATGTAACAGATAACACCTTAAAGCTTTAAAGTTACTTATGTCTTAAAGCTTGTAATTCCATCCTTGACTTTATCCTAGGGAAGTAACTTTGGATAGTTACTTAGTAACTTACAGACATGGATATACAAACATGTTGCTTAAGGCATTGTTTTATAATGTCCTGAGTAGCTAAAACAAAAATGTCTAGTGGCAGGGAATTTAGTAAATTTTGTTACGTCCAAGGTAGAAAAGAATAAGTGGTCTAAATGCCATTACAGATGGTATTCATGGTATGGTAGTTTTATAAAAATATTTATACATGTATATGTACTTAGAAATAAAACTAGAAAGATACACTGAACTGATTACCTACAAATGGTGAGACTGAGGAAATGTTTGATAAATAATACCCAATAAACTACATAACTTCATTAGGCTGATGAACTGAAGTGACAGTACCAGAGTTGACAGGATCAGGGAATATGGTAAGTTTGTCATAACAGCTGGATTTAAAGAGGATCCACTCCAGAGCTGTCATCCAGAGGCCCTGCCTGCAGAGCAGGCAAAATGAAGCGTCTTCCCTCTTTGTCACTTGGATGTTTCCCAGTCACCGAGAAGATGGCAAAAAAAAAAAAACCCCAGGACCTTTCTGCTGGAACAGGTGGTTTCAAGAGGGAGACAGTGGTGGTGCAAAGCACTGGACAGAAAATGTCACAGCACAGCACCTACTTGGTGACTTGAAAAGAGCTGCTGCACTGAAAATAGCATGAAAATTTTAAATAAAAAAATACATTAAGACACTCCATTGCCTCTAGCAGTATTAAGACATTTTGAAAATACCATAAAACAACACAGCACAGCACCTGTGTAACCTGCCCACCAACCCACATGCTATGCTGTGCCCCGACACCTTGTGTGGCTGAGATCTGTTTGCATGGACACCACCCAGCAACAGCAGCTCTCCCTTGCCTTGTCCTTTTATTTCAGATACTACATGCTGGCATAAGCATCCTTTGATAATTCTGAGATCCCAGCAAAAACAAATGTTTTAAGTATTTTGGAAGTTATGCTAATAGTACCATTTTAGTCGAAACTGTGATGTAGGTCAGGATACTGTAATTTTTCACTCATGAATTCCAAGCCAGAGCAGAGGACCTGCTGAGGTACAACATGAGTTTGCAGTTGCCAGAACTCTGGCTGTGTGAACCCTTGTAAGCCACGTGGCCTATAAATGAGGAAAGATGCAGACTGAATGTGAGGTCCGAACAGATGCAATTTCTAAAAGATTTAACCTGTACAAGTGTTGAGAATAATGGTGTCTATAGGATGCAGCTAAATGGAAGCATGGGGGGAGCAGCAGACTAGGTGTCTGCCTTTGCATTCAGACATATTTTGTCTCAAGATTTTAAAATTTACACACATTAAAAGTTACTGAGAAAAAATTACTGCTTTTAGATGATTACATGCTTAGAACTTTCAGTACAATAAAAAAATAGTACTAAAAGATCAGTATAAAGACTGGTAATATAACTTTTAAAGTGTTTTGGAAAAAATTTCATTAATAAAACAATAGAAGCGATAATTTAAGACGGGAAAAAACATGGAATGTTGCCAGATGTGTGTTCCTATAATCCCAGCACATGTGCAGCTTGAGTTCAAGGCCAGCCTAGACTACACAGCAAGACCCTTTCCCAAAATAGCAACTTAAGAAATACAAAATCCCTATGTGAAAATGATTATAAAGCTTTTCTGAGCAAGACCTACTTACACAAAGAGACCCTTCTTAGACACAGTTGATATTGGAGTGTCTGTCCAAACAATCCATGTATTACTGGCAACGGTAACAACAAGTGTAAGGAAAGGGCACTTTGTACACTGTTCTCTTTGGTATTCAGCCTGGTATCAATCTGCTAAAACATTGTACAGTAATTCCTCTTCTAAGAAAGTTTACTGCAGTTATAACCTGTACTTATTAAAAATACACATACAAGGATAGTCCCTGCAGCAAACACTGGAGATAACAAATGACCATTGTGAAAGGAACGGATGATTAAGCAAAGACATAGGGTACCTTAGAATTTATGTCTCAGCAGAATGGCACATGCCTATAATTCTAGCTACCCAAAAGGCTGAGGCAGGATGATTGTGAAGTCAATCCCAGCCTGAACAACTTAATGAGATTTTGTCTCAGAGTGAAAGAACAAGGGCTAGTAATGGTAGATTGCTTACCTAGATATACAAAGTCTCATTTCCGTACTACAAAAAGATTTAAAAGACCGTATTTTGGAGAAATGTTTGATAAACTGACTGAAAAAAGCAAAGCCACAAGACTGAAGTGCTCTATACGCTTTACAGTTTTTCCAAAAGTGAGATCAAAAGCACTCTCAGAGGACAGAATTACACAGAACACAGCTTGAAGGTACCGAATGGCCTGGTAATGATGTTGCAGAAACAGGTAGAAGGGAAAAGAAGAAAGTACCTTCCTTTTCTGAATATATATATAGATATATATATATATATCTATATATATATCTGACCTATGTGAAAATATGTTTTTACAGTTGAAAAGGACAAAAAAATAATCTACCCAGAAACTTAGGCCCACCTGATATTCTACTGGGGCAGGGAAACCCTCACCAAATATAGCAGATAAGTAGCAGCCTTTGAAGATTAAGGTAAAGATTAGGTAAGATCCTGAAGGACTGCCTCAGAGCTCACTTGGTCCCTTAACAGCTATGTAACCTTGTGCATGGGGTAAGGGGGTGGTGCCCCCCCCACACCACTTCCAAAGGATTCATGATTCCTGGCCCTGTATGCAAAGCAACAGGGAAACTAGAGGTGCTCAGCTCAATATGTAGCCAGCAACATCCATCTATTTCATTGTGACATAGAACAATGACTAAAACGAATGACAAGTGAACAAAATGGTTTCAGGCATTATATCTAAAATACAATTTTTTTAAACAATATGATCACATGACTTACAAGGTATCATTTATAACAACAATCTAACACTTTTGTAAACTGCATTTATTGTACAGAGTATTCTGAAGAAAGAAAAATATGTACAGCCATTTGTTTTCATTAATACATCTATTCTGTCCTGCAATACTGGAAAGGCGGAATGTGTCTGGCACAAAAATAACTCCTAAGAGTTACAAATTAGAAAACAACACTTTTAAAAAAGATTTTTACTTTTCTGGTAGAAATATAAAAACTGTGGTTTATGGGGAAAAAATTAAAGTAAGTCCAATTGTATAGGTGGCTTTACCACTTCAAAGTTTTATCCCTTAAACCAACTTGTCAACAGCAGTGTTTAAAATCTACATATAAATAAAAGGGCAGTGCTGCCCAGATAGCAGCACAGTATGAGCAACTCACAGTAACGCTGCAGGGTGTTCTTAGTACAGGAAAGTAAACCTTCCTTCCCAGCATCCTGCAGTGGGATGCGGGCAGAAGAGCTGCTTGGTGATGCAACCTGCACCTTAAGCATCTGTCTTCTCACACCACCACCATTAAAGGTACCAAACTGATTTGTTTAAAAAACAAAGGGGGGATGGAGAACAGGAGTACATGATAGCCACTACGTTGTCTTCCTGAATCCCTTTAGAATAGGGTAGATGTTTTCAAATGCTTCATAAATTTCTGCTCTGACTTTAGCACCTATAAAGGAACAGAGACAAGTGTGAAATAGCATTTTTAACACAAAGTAAAATAATTACCCTAAAGACACAAGCACAATCCTCTAGAGTACCAGATGCAGGCATTAAAACATTAATGGTAGGTGGGAAGGGTAGGGAAAGGTAATAAGGGAAAAAAAATATGAGAAAATGAAAAAAATGGAAATAAAGTGTTTGTAAATGGGAAGGGGAGGAGGGGGTGAAGGGAGGGCAGGGACAAGGGGAAAAAATGAGAACCAAGACCTGTCATGTGAAAGTACAGGATCCCAGTAATGAATGTGACTATACTGTATACCTAAAATGTACCAATAAACTCAATAAAAGAAAAAAAAAATAATGGTAGGAACCCCTGTCACAATCCTAGTTTTGTTTTTAAAATAGTTGTCTTAAAATGACCTATTAAATGACCAAAGCAAGGTGCACAGTGGCTCCAGCCTCCATCCCACAGCTCACCCGCATACAGTCCTGTACCTCCACTAGCTCATAAACCCAGCAGGCAGTGGCAAGAATGAGCCGTCTTCTCCCGGTTGCTGCTACAACTGGGCCTTTCTCAGTCTCCTTAACTGTCCCAGGACAGTGGTGCTGAGGACCCCACATACCAGAGGACCGATCCAACAGGAGACACCCGCCCAGCCCTGCTGTCACGGAACGTGCTCTAGCTAAGGCTCCCGGCTGCAGTCAGACTGCACTGCTCTCTCCCTCCCACTTAGGGGGCTAGTTTCTCACAGAATTGGGGTAGGAGAAAAAGAAAAACAATGGTAAAGGCCGTTTTTATAAGTTGTTAGCCAACTGTTCCAACACTGAAACTTCTTCACTGAGAAAATGCCATCCACGAAACGCTTCCAAACGTCCAGTTGCTATTTCCTGTTACAACTTACCTGTTAATACAACTTTTCCAGAAACGAAAATAAGGAGAACAATTCTGGGTTTGATCATTCGGTAGATTAATCCAGGAAATAACTCTGGCTCATAACTAGAAGGAAAATGACAAAAATAGTTTAGAAATTATGAGTTTCCTATGTTTTTAGGTGAAATGACCTGTGCAAGAGAAATACTGAATAAACAGGCAAACTAGTCTACAGATAGAGCACAGCAATTCAGCAGACTCAGAGAATGTAGTTGGGCTACACGAGACTGACTTGTCACTGACACTGGATGGCCACCTACTGGCCTTTTGTCCTCCTATCAACTATGAACCTAGATTTTCTGAGATAACAAGAGCTGTGTATTTATCTTCCATTCTCTGATCCATATCCAGATTCACTCTGAACAACTTAAAACCTAGACATTTAATTCTAAGAGCTAATGATGACAGCTCTTGTACTGTATCTCAACTTCCTCAAACTGAAAAGCCATAACAGCTGTCAGTTTTGGCTGGGCAATTTAGGCACACCAGACACTAGTCTGAGTATGAATTTATCCAATGACACCACCTACCCTCTTCTGTCTATTATGTTTGACTTGGAGAAAAATTCAGAACAGGCCTGACTGTGGTAAAAAGTTGAACAAAAGTGTGCCAGGTACGCCAGTGGCATGTGCAAAGGCCCTGGGGCAAGAGGAGACTAGGGAGCTGATGTGGCCATAAATAAGACCAGTAGATAGTGAAGCAAGCTTGTGAGATGGGCTGTCTGCTGTGACTCTGTACCAGCAAGCAGCAGATAACAGCTGCGGAAAGAGTGTTTCTGTCACTCAGTGTTACACTTTGCTGGTAGATCTGATGTAATATTAATGAAAAGATTCCAACTAGGAAAAAAGAGGTTCTGGGTTCAATCCATGTGTATGAAATATATTTATTAAGCAAAAAAACATAAAAATGGGCAGAACTCATTCTAGTAAAGGGGAGTTCTCTAAGCAACAAAGGAAGTGAAAAAAAAAACCTGTCTAAAAAGTTAGAAGATATTACTGAGGACAGCAGGACATTCAGTAATACAACTGTAAATATATTTGGTATTATACACTGAGTACTTTGCATGTGGTTTATCCTGAACAGTGCTTACAGAGATTACAAATGACCTGGTCATGATTCCAGCACATTTTCAGACTTACCTACTGAACTGCTGGTGGGTAAGCACGAGGCCCTCCAATCTTATGGGGAACTTCACATCACA